TGTATATATTAAGGATGCATAGTGTGATGACTTCCACGAGTTACATTTGCACATTTTTCAAAAATCAATTGTCCATGTATGTGTGGACTTATTTCTGAACTCTCTTTTCAGTTCTTTTAGAGAATAAACTATCACCAGTACCAATTTTTATTATAAAATAATTTAAGTGTGTATAGACATCAAACTATATAACATGTTTATGTTTGTGGTTCCTTTGCTTTTTATTGTAATTAATAAGGCATATTAATTGTATAATTTAATGGGTTTACTGTGACATTTCCATACATGAGTACATCTTGTTTTGATCATGTCCATTCTTCCTTTTTGCTCTCTCTTGCCCTCTCATCTCTTCCTCTTCCTTACTATCCCTATTTTTTTCCTTCCCTAATAGCCCCTCTTCTATATTAAGGTCAATATTTTCAGCTTCCACATCTGAGAGAAAAAATATGGTACTTGTTTTTCTGCATCTTTTTTAGACAGGGTCTCATGTTGCTCAGACTGGCCTCAAACTTTAGATCTTCCTATCTCAGCATGCCAAGTAGCTAGGATTACAGATGTGTGCTACCACACCTGGCTTCTAGTCACTGCTGATGATCTGCTTGACTATTTTTAGAACAATATCACACTGTTTTGAATTCTAATGTCTAGGCATCAGTTACTATTGGTCCTTTGATTCCATCCATTATTACAATCATTTCAGTTAATCTAGGCCCTTTCAACTTCCATGAATTTTAAGTTTGTCAATTTTTATAAACATATGTCTATTGGAATTTTCATTGAAATTAAAATGTTGAAAAGATGTGGGGAGTGTGTAAATTCCTGTCTTAGTCTTGATCTTAGGGGAAACCATTCTGTTTTTCACTATTCAGTGTGAATATTTTTCATGGATGCCCTTTATCAGGTTAAGAGGTCCTTTTGAACGCTCAGCTTGTTTTAATTTTTTTTTAATTAGGAATGGATTTTTGAGTTTAACACAAGGTTTTCTGTCCTACTGAGATAATTATATAGTTTTATTTTTGTGCAGAAGATATTTCTCATCATTCTTGGGTGGTTAGAAAAGTCATATATGGTATTACCTAAAGCTTAATTGTGATTTTATTTTATTTATTAAAAATTTTGGATTAACGTATAATAATTGTACATATTTATGGAGTACAGCAGGTATTTCAATAAACATGTACAGTACATACTGATAAACTCAAGGTAACTAATACTTGTCTCTCCTTATCATAACTGTGTTTGGAAACTTTCAGCTTCTCTCTTTAGTGATTCATTAAAATATATAACACGTAATTGTGAACTTTAAGTTTGTTTTTTATTTCTGACCCAGGGTCTCACTATGCAGTCCACAAACTCATGCCCTCTTGCTTCAGTCTTTAGCATGCTGGGATTATAGGCATGTCCCAATTCCTCCTGACTGAAGTTGATCTTCTGCATCATTTAAAATCCTCCATGTAAAGGAGAATAGAGAGGCACAGAAACATGAGCATGTGGAAGGAGGAAAAAAGCAAAGAAGAAATTTGAGATGTCTGTATTTTCTTAGAAATAAACCTATTTTGAAGGAGTCAGTTCATTTTGAGTTCAATGCAGGACTGCTTGTGAGATGGCTAGGGATGTTAGTAGATCAGGAGTCATAGTTTGAGTCCTGCAGTATTTGAAGCTGTTGATCTTTCCTTTCTCACAGAAAAAATTTTCATTTTCTTCCTTTGTGTTCCTGGGTGCCACTTTATTCTGTTGTTAAATATTAGGGTCTCCCAGGACTTTGTCTTGCTCTGTCTCTGTAGTCACTCCTCAGGTAATTTCATTAAGTCTCATGACTTTAAGTATTTTATCTACTTAAATAAAACAATATCCTTTGCCATGGTCTAAAAGACTCAACCTGGGTGGGTTCCTAACTACCTGCATGGCTTTTCTACTGCCTTCTCCTTACTCACTGTGTTCTAGTCCTACCTACTTCCTATTCCTTGGGCATGCCAAACCTGAACCCACTCTTCTATTTTCTTGAAATGTACCTCTAGATCTTTTCCTGGTTCTCTACTTTGTTTTATTCAGTTCTCTGTTTCAATACCTAAGAGACGCACAGGCCCAGCTTCTGAACCTCCTTACCTAAAATAGTCATCCCATCCAGTGTTATTATCTGCATCCTAACCCTGCTTTACCTTCCATCACAGGCCTTCCTAAGACTTCTGTTGTACTCATTGTTTACTTATATGGTCACTGTGTGTCTTATGTATCATGAAGTAAGAGACAAGAAAGAAATGCACTGCTTTTTTTCCTTCTGAGTCTCATTATATACTCAAGAATTTTTTTGCTTAGTGGACAAATACATGAATACTTGTTGGCATTTTATATATTAGTTTTTATAAGTCATTGCTACCAAATATACAGATGTTTTTGTCTTTCTAGACACTCCTCTTACATTTGTGTTAATTATAACTAGATGGCAGAATTATCTTGATTTATTGATAAAACCACAAATTGGGTTTTCTCAGGCATGGCTAACACAAAAGACAAAGAATAGCATAAAATCCAGTTGGACTGCACTTTACACAAAATCTCTATTTCCTTAATTAATGGCAATAGTAACTGGCCAAACATTGCCTTTACTTATTGATTCTTAAAAACTATGTTGTATTATTTTTATTTTCTCTTTTTTGATTGGATGTGCTTTGAGGTCATGAACTATGAGTTATATAATACTCTTTTTTCAATTATTGTGACCATTAATTCTTTTCTTTGAATATTAGCATGTTAATTGTCCAAAGAGGTTCATTAGGATGTTTCCATACATGAATACAATGTACCTTGATCAAAGTCATCTTCCCACTCCCACTACTCTTTTTTTTATCTCCCCTATTCCAGCCCCTTTTTTTTCTTTGCAATTTTAGTGGGTTTCATATTATATTTTCATACATGCAGACTAAGATCTTTGATCATATTCACTCCCTCTCCATTCTTTTATTCCCAGGGCCAGTCTCAGAGACTGGGAAATAGAAGGTTCTCAATAAAAACTTGTTGAAAATCACAACTTTGAGAATGGGTCAGGGAAATGTAAACACCTAGGCAGACAGATTAATGTCTTTCTTCTTGTGAAGATTTGTCAAGGTCTCCATAAAATTTTCTAACTCTGTTTCTTAATCAGTGGTCTTCTATATCTTAATCTTAATTCTAATTCACTTCCTCAGCTTAAATTCCCATTCCTACACAGTCTATTTCTGGCCAAATCAGCCAGAAATAGCTCACTCTAGATGGAGCTGAATCTTCCAGCCTCTTGTGGAACCTATAAACTAGAGGTAATGGAGGACCAGCACTGGTCAACAGAGCTACAGACCAATTTAATCAAAATCTTCTGGGTGAAACTCTACATATTTTCAAAACACAAGTGCCTGATTCTTTCATTTGAGACTTTGAGTCATTAGATCTTGGGTGGGGCTTGGGAGGATAGAAGTAAAATCTGGTTTATAGCATTTTTCAGCCTCACAGAAAGCTAAGGGTTTGAACTTTGGTCCAAGCCTCCTTGCAACTAATCTCCACAATCTATGAGTGACCTATGTTTGCCAAGATGCACTGGCACCAGCAACTCGGTGCTAGTCACACACCTGAGATGGCAATGAAGCATAATGATTAAAGAAAGCCAGAGCTGAAATGCCTCTGACTTGATGTGGCCCAGGGCGGCTACTCAGTGTTCTCTCTCGACCATATACACCCAAGTGCACAATGAAAGGAATATTTAAAAGGCATGCCTAGGTCTGGCACCAGTGGCTCATGCCTGTAATCTTCGTTACTTGGGAGGGTGAGATTGGGAGGATCACGGTTTAATGCCAGGCCAGGCCAATAGTTGGTGAGACCCCATCTCCAAAATAACCAGAGAAAATTGGACTAGAGAAATGGCTCAAGTGGTAAGTGCCTACTTTGCAAGCACAAAGCTCTGGAATCACACTCCAGTCCCACCAAAAAAGAAAATGATTGAGACATGCCCAGGAGTCAAGAACACTCCACTGTATTTTCACTGTGTGTGCTGTGTAGCTGTCTTGTACCCTTTCTCAAAGTTTAGTAAGATTGACTTGGGTCTATTTTATGAATTTTATTACTACCTGGACCCTTGATCACTGTTGCTGGGAAAGCAGAAAAGACACTGTAAAGTCAGAGGATGTGAATTTTGAAAAAAATCTTCCCAGAGAATTCTGATGCTACTCTTAGTTGGAAACAAGTAATCTAGGCCAATGACCTCATTTTGTAAGTGTGAAAATAAGCTCCAGAAGTGTGATAACATGCTTAAGGTTTTCAAGGCTGTTTAGGGACAGAGTCAGGACTTTATCTTCTATAGACACACTTCTGTGACTTTCCTTTGAAGTAATTGAAGTCACCTGGAATCATGTTTACCAAAAAGTATCTGTATAGCACTCATTCCATGAACCACTCTGAGAAAAATTAGGTTCTGTGTGATTAAGTTTAGCTTTGACAAATGCTGCATACCGTATTACCTTTTTAGAGATTTACATTTTACTAAATGATTTAAGAAGTCATGTAGTTAATAGAATTTTGCTTTATTTAGCTCAGAATTGCCCAAAATTATTTGAAAGTAGGAGTATTCATTTTTGCAACTATTAAACATTTCACTGAAAAGAACCTTGGCAAAACAAACTTTGGGAAAAGCTGACCTAGATAAATATAAATGGAATAAAGGATTAATAATAACTGTCTTCAAAGCTGTGAAAGCTACTTTGTAGGCACTGGCAGCTGTTATTGTTTATGTCATAAACAATCTACAAGAAAGTTTGTATTAACCTTGATCCTAATGAAGATGTGTTTTACCATTGTGACTTACCATAGGAGTTAAGAGTTTTATTTCTAAGAACAGAAATACATGGAAAAGCACCAACCCCTCAGAGCAACTTCTGATATCTGAAATTTCATCAAAATGTGAACATTTGTAGCAATGCCACAAACTCAGGGCCAAATTGTCCATCTGGTTATGCAGATCAAAGGAATTCAGATGCTCATGGCATCAAAAGGAAGAGCCTTTGTTTTTCGATGAGCTTTCTCAGAGCACCTTTCATATCCTTGTTCCTCAGACTATAGATGAAGGGGTTCAACATGGGTGTCACCACAGTGAATAGTACTGCACCAATCTTATCTGTGTCCTCAGGGTGAGTTGAGGAGGGGAAAAAGTAAACCCCTACAATGGTGCTATAGAAGAGCAATACAACTGTCAGGTGACTGCCACAGGTGGAGAAGGCTTTCCACTTCCCCTCTGTAGATGAGATTCTCAGGACAGCCCTGATGATGCAGATGTAGGAGAAGAGTATGAGGGCAAAGGGCAAGATGATAACTGATATGCCCACAATAAATAATACCAACTCATTGATCATTGCATCTGAACAGGACAGTTTGATGAGAGAGGCCAAGTCACAGAAGAAGTGTGGGAGAGTGTTTCTGTCACAGAAGACCAGTTGAATAAGTAGAAGGGTGTGTGTCAGGGCAACAGTATTACTGAGGAACCATGGGATGACTGTGAAAAAAACACAGAGTTTGGGGTACATGACAGTTGCATAGCTCAGAGGGTGGCAGATAGCCACAAAGCAGTCATAGGCCATGACCCCCAAGAGGAAATTGTCAAGGACAACAAACACAATGGAAAAGTACATTTGTGTGATACAGCTATCATAGGAGATGGATTGACTCTTGAACTGAATATTCGTCAGCATTTTGGGGACTGAGGTTGAAGTGGAGGTAATATCAGCAAAGGATAGGTTAGCAAGGAAGAAATACATGGGAGTGTGAAGATTCAAATCCAAGCCAATGGCTAGAATGATGAGACCATTCCCAACCACAGTGACCAGGTACATACACAGAAAAAGCACGAAGATGAATTCTTGCTTCTCAGCCTGGTTGGAGAGTCCCAGGAGGATGAATTCAGAGATGGTTTGGTTTCCTTGATGCATATTTCTGTTAATCTTAAGAAAGACAAAGTCTTTATATCCCCAGAAGAAAAGTCAAAACAATATCACTCAGCTGCAGCCATTTCAGAGAGGCACTTCCTCTACACTAAGGGAAAATGAAGTTCCTTTCACTTACTAAGTAGAAGGACTACTTAATAATGAATTTTCTCAGCAGTGCAGAGACTCAGGAAATGCCTTAAGAGCAAAACAAAGGACAGGATAGATACTTCTTTATGAACATATATTAAACTCTAAGAGTTCAGAATGTGGTTTTCATAATTGGCTTTAATTGTTGTTTAGATCCCCCAAAATGAGGACCACAGATGACATGGACCCCAGACTCTAAGGATGCTGGATATCCGTGCAGGAATTACTTAAAAATGAACAAACTGGTCCCAAGACTGTCTCCATCTTCATTATTTAAATGTAAGAAGATAGAGATTTGAAGGGTTTGGGGAAGTAGAAACAACAGAGGATTAGGGATAATACTATTGTATGGATGATCCTTTGCAAAAGAACTTCTCTTACAGATTGAATATTACTTTGTTAGGTTATCCAAGAAAATTCAGAGGACACATACAAAGATTTGTATTTGCCTTTCCCTTCTAAAGTTGGGAGGATCATTGGGTCAGTAAATCACAGCAGGGGTAAAGGAAAAGATGACAGCTATGGAAACCCTTCATTCTCACCCATGGCAGAGAAGGAATATATGAATTTTCTAGAGAACAAGTAAATGCTTCAGGAGGTTGTTCATCTCAAACCACCTTTTTGCAACTCCAACCAAGAAACAGCCTCCCTGGGTGGAGAAGACTGTGGCAGTAAGAAACCATGGGGGTAACTCTCTAATGTAAGAGGTATCTTTGAGAGCTAAGGAGAAAATCCAATGTCTTTGTCAGGGAGCAACACAATTAGGCAGTCTCTGAAATGGGGCCTCTGAAGAACCCAAATGTGGCCTCATGGGAAAGTATGCCTGACACATATAAGTCACTAACTGTTAGCGCTTTATGGCTACAGACTTGAAGACTTTTTTCCCACTCTGATCTCTCTCTTGTACAAAGGAAGACCAAGACAAGAACAAAAGAAACAATGATGATGACAACGGTGAGTTGGGGGATTCAAGGTTAATGAACAGGGAGGAACAGAACCCCCTGTCTTTACCTGTACAGCCCCAAGCTGCAATGAGATCTGAGCTACACAGAGAGAGGACAAATGCTTTGGATTGGGTGTGAAATCAAAGTTTTAAATCAGCCTGAGCTTGATTTTTTAATACCTAGAAATGGGTCTTCAGTACCAATGTAAAACTGTTCTATAAAATCCTAAGTGATCGGAAAGCTATAGGAACACAAGGTGTCACCTAGGAACAGGGAAAGGAGATGAGAGTAACATCTCATTCCTTGTGGCTTACTGGCAGGACTATCAACTTGAGAACCAAGAGATATTGATTCTTGTCTTTCTGCTCTTCTGATAGCAGCTCTCTCTTTTTCTTGTCTCTCTATTCTCCTGTTTCCCAAGTCACTGTCTCAAAGTTTATTTTATTCAAGAGTAAACTTCCATATCTGGAATTCTGGAAACTTGAAGGGCAAGAGGGATTGAGCAGAAGCTCTAAGGTTTTTTTGCTTTTGGGAAACTTGGTTTATGAATGAGAGAGAGAGAGAGAGAGAGAGAGAGAGAAACATATATAGAAGGAAGACTCCAAGACAATATGGAAGTGAGATAAAGAACTGGCAGGAATCTGCACCTAAGGTACAGACCAGTCTGAAGGGGTTCTGTGGTTACTAATCTGTGGTTACTGACACTGATTGAGTGTCAGTCTCTAATCTTACTTTCCTCTTCTACCTCTCCCCATTACCAACAGTTTTGCTCAAATTGTTCTGAGTCCTTATGTGGCTGCCTAGCTAGTTAGGACCAGTGTTAAATTCTAAAAGGGTCTGAATGACAGCAAAAATTCAGGAAGTTATTGGAGTTGCTACTTACCAGGGTAGTAGGTAGGGACTGAGAACTGCTCTCCTGTGCTTCTCAGAACTGTACTCTTCTTCTTAGCACCAGAGTTAATGGAGTTGTGGTGTTAGGCTCATGTGGGACATTTATCTCTTCCCAAGTCCTTAGGGGTGATATCCCTGAAGTGTTTTTCTCAAGACAAACAGTAATTTTCACATCTCAGTCTTGAGGTAAATGGGGAATAGACAGACATTTCTGCTTCTTTGTTTTGTCTTTATGTTCTCATTCCACTCATCATTTCCTACTTATAACTTAATTGGTATTGCTGTTCAGAGCGAGTGAATTGTCTGCTGTGTGTGTCTTATGTTTTCAGTGAGACAGAAACATTTTGAAAGTCTTACTGTTTCCTGCTAATGCTTAGGAGAGAACACTTGGCAAATACTTAGAGAATTGAGTTGAATTCCTCTGCCAGTGATTATGACTCCAAAGAGATGCCATGTCTAGTGTGAGGAGACAGACAATGGTTTCTGCACCAATGAATAGACGTTAGTATTAGAAGGAGACTGGATCCCAATGATTCACTTCTTAAAAGAAAAGGAAAGAAATATAATTATATATCTATATAATATTAAAAAATAAAACACTAGAATGATATGAAGTGGGTTCAAATATTCTGGGAAGCTTAGAAAAATAGACTCTGAAATGGACAAAAATAAGGAAGATTACATAGGCAAAGACAAAGCCAAAATTAGTATTTTCCTACTTCTAATGTTTGCACATGCCTTATAACTTGGTGCAGTTCTATTTCTCAACAAAACCAACAACATTTATTCCCCTCCTCACAAGAAGAAATCCAAAGCATGGTTTTACTGCATGCATGACACGTGTTCAACAACATGTATTCATGACTAGCATTTAAAATAATGAGAAAATGTAGAAGAAAAGATAAGGTATCCTATCTATCTATCTATCTATCTATCATCTATCTATCTATCATCTATCATCATCATCATCATTATCATCTTTTGAGTCACTTCTTATAAGTCTGTAGCAAGAATTTAAGAGTTGATATTTTGTTTGTAAGGGGAAACTTTAAGGCAGTTAGGACAAGGAATATACAAAACTGAGTAGTACATAAAAAGCAAAGCAATGCAATACCACACATTCCTTCAATGTCATTGTTCATAACAAGCATACAAGAGTCAGAGAAGTTTGCTCATCAGAGATGCTCACTTAGCATGTGTTTACCATGGAAGGATAAGTCACACCTGGGAGCAAGCCTCTGAAGGAAGAAAGGAAGTTATATTTATTTTCTCTGTCCTTTCATCTCTTCTTTTCCATCACCCATGTTTTACCCTGGGAACTTTCTTGAATTTCCAAGTTGCATCTGTCTCCTTGATGGCCACAAAAGAAGTTTAGATACATGCTCCATAATATTGCTATTACTCTGAGTCCAGAACTTTTGTATGGGTTGGCACATAGGCTCAATGTCAGATAACTCAGAGAATTTGGGAAAAGGTAGCAGAATTTGAGAGGTGGATGATGTCATTCAAAAGAAAGAGGTGGTATAAGGTTGTGTGCAATTGTAACCTACTTGGGTTTTTTTGTTTGTTTTTTGGTGGTACTGGGGTTTTATACTCAAGACTTTGTATTTACTGGGCAAGTGCCCTACCACCTGAGCATGCCTCTAGCCTTTTTACCTTTAGTTATTTTCCAGACAGTGTCTCACACTTTTTCCTGAGCTTGTCTCAAACTGTGATACTTCTACTTATGCCTCCCACAAACTTGGAATTATAGATGTGAGCCATCACACACAGAGCTTGCTAACATTTTTTCCCCTCAGCTGGCCTTGAACTTTGATCCGCCTATCTCTGTCTCCCAAGTAGGGAGATGACAAGCATGAGCCACTTTGCCCAGCCTATTTGTCCACCTCTTTGCTACTCAGATCTGATCATGTACTCTCCTTGCTTCTAGATTCTATACAACACTATGGCAACTGTATTTTCCCATGAGAATGAAAACACTCTGAGTAGGGAAATGCATACCCAGTTAGTCTGGAGAAGTGTTTTTTAATCTTTTATTAATTATTGACCAGACACTCCCTTAGGGAGTCTTTAGAGAAATTTTATTCATTCTTTCTACCCCAAGAAATTAAATACTTTGAAATATGATTTTGTCAAATATGGCTGATCTTTGGAGAGTCACACATTATTATATTATCTAAGATTTCCCCACCCCTGGAATTAATTTTGGGATAATACCATCCTACATTGAGGGTGCTTGGTCTAGAGGTTCCTTCAAAGTCAGTCTTAATCTGGAATGATAAGACAAGAATATTAGCCATACAGGCTATAGACAGTCTTCACTTTTGTAGCAGTCCCTGAGGTTCTGATTGATATTCTTCACCTCCTTTTCCATCAATCATTTCATGTTTCTTCATACTTAGCAAAGCAATGGAATACAACACATTACTTCAAGGTCACTGTTCACAACAAGCACACAAGAGTATGCTTTGCTGACCTGAGTTGCTTGTCTTTGGGACTCAGACTTTTCCCATGAAGTATGTGACTTCTTATAGCCCTGATCTTGCTGGATTATGGTTGTGTTAATTGCTTATGAATGTCTTATATCACAGTTTAGACTCACTCTGGTTCAGGGTTTCAGGAATAGGAAGCCCCAACTGCACAAATTGGTCATTGAATGTAGATTGAGAAATGGCCCCTCCCTGTCACTCATTGTGGTTATTAGGTATGTCTCATGCATGGAATGATGGAGATGGATACCATCATCACCATCCTGAGGTAATGATAGTTTCCTTTTCTGATTTCTTACAGTAGTTTTATAACAATGTATTTATTGAGATACTAAATTCACTTTGAACTCAATGTCATTTAGTGAATAATTGATTCTTTTTTCTTTGATTGATAGAAACTGTAATTTTGATCAAATACTAAATTTCCATATGTAGTTTTAATTAGACTATATCTTTGTTCCTTTTTACAATTTTCAGTTCTTTCCCAATACCATTCAGCTTGCAATAAACCTTACTGTGAGTCAGCCTAGCAAACATACTTTTAACC